GATTTGCATCCGCTGCACCTGCCGGAGGATGCCTCTGACCTTCAGAATAGATTTGTTTTTTGTTTTTGCAGCCTTACAGTTTTGTCGAGTGGGCCAGCTTCCTTTTGTGAGATGACAAAAGTGTTGTTCAGTCAGAACAAATGAGTCTGCCCCCCCCTCCTCTTCCTCCTCCTCCTCCTCCTCCTCCTCCCTAACCCCCTCTCTCTCCCTTTGTTGTTATTTGCATTAGGAATCAGTCTGCTCATTCCTCCCGAGGCCATCCCCAGAGGAAAGATCTATGAGATTTATCTCACTGTTCAGAGGAAAGAAGATTTAAGGTGGGTCTCTTTAACACTGCCTAACTGGCAGTCTTCCCTGGATGCCACTAGGCTGTTTGTTTTGATGCTCTTCTGTTCCATTAGGAAAGGCTTAAGTCTGTGCTGAGGAGAAGGATGTAAATAAATAACATGGCCTTTTACCAGGATGTGTACTGTTTAAGTTGAATGAATTGTTTGCAGAACACTGTTTATCTGGCTTGCCGCATCCGCTCTCTGAAGGCACAGTCATTGTAGCATGCTGTGATGTTCGGTTATTACTCACTCACTCACAACTTGGTCCAGCTAGTCCGTGGGTCCAGCAGCCTTTCATTATTCTCTGTTACAGCTGAGAGATAATTTGCAGAGGTGGCGGTATCATATCCCGCTTACAAGAGAGTAGTAAATTCTCTCTAATAACTTGGATGAGTAAAAGCTCTTCATCTCAATCTGTTCCCCCTGCCTCCCGCTTCTCTCCCTGGTGTAGGTTACCCCTGGCAGGTTGCCAGACCCTGCTTAGCCCCGTTGTGAGTTGTGGCCCTCCAGGGGTGGTCCTGAGCCGGCCGGTTATCCTCAGCATGGACCACTGCTCTGACGCTTGCCTCGATAACTGGGCCGTTCGCCTCAAGAAGCAGAACTACGAGGGCGCTTGGGAGGTGAGACAGCACTAACACTCGAGCACACAAATCCTCCGCAAAAAGAAAAAGTTGCCACCCAGTGAATTTGTAAAGTCTTACTGGACTCACTCTGAGCTTTTTCTTCAAAAAGTACAAACTTGCTCTGCAGTGACTTGAAACATTGGAGAGGGTTCGATGCTGTATGGCAGAGGGAGCTCTGGCTGAGCACTCATCCACTCCATAGGATTTAAATTGTATTGACCATCAGGTGTTTTCTCATTGGGCTGGAACAAAAGCCTGGAAGCACCAGCTCTCTCCAGCTTCTGTTGCTAGGCAACATGTTTCTCAAAACAGAAATTTTCTAAGCAAATGACTGATCCTCAAAGTACTCTTCAGTGTGCTCCTTGACCACTTTTGACCACTGCTTCCAATTATTTAGTTCCCTCCCCATTTTTTTGCCATCCATGAAATTCTAAAGTAACTACAACTGCCAGACTCCAACAGGATGGAGTCTGAACACTCACACACACCCACACAAACAAATGGTTTGAGGCTGTATACCCATCTCAACAATCCTGAGGGATTGGAAAAGGGTGCTGATGGGCTTTTGAGTGTTAGTAGGTCTTTTTTCATGTTCGATATTGTGCATAAATTATTCAGCCTTCCCGTGTGTGGCAGCGGTGGGGTGTCTGTGGGATGGATTGGCCTGTCTGAGGCAGAGGTTAGGACAGCACTTTTAATCATCAGCTGGACCAAATTTAGCCCAGCGGCCTCACTGCGTGGCCACCGAAAGGGGAAAAAAAAGGCCCAGTTCATGAAAGAGGGGAGGCGAAGTCGACAAGCAGCTACAGTGTGGATGTGGAGGAATGATGGGGAAGAGAGAGGGATTGGAACATGGAAGAAAAAAAACCTGGATATGCAGAAGCAGTAGAAGAAATAAATTGCTCGTGCATTGAGCGGCCGGTGGTGTAATTGAGCCACCTCACTGTCTCGGCTCAACTTTGAAGAAATATTCAGATGATGAAAGAGTGAGACTCCATTGTGGTTGCATAGCAAATGAATTGTGTCGATACCAATTCTATTGATGTAGTTGGTGTCTGGTTGAATCGATCCTGCAGGGGGCTCGCTGGGCATTTGGCAGGTGCAATGTTCTCTTCAGCTTGATTGGCTAATGGAAGGAGTCAGTCAACTGGCATGATGGGATTTCAGAGAAAATGTTGTCACCTTGGGTCCAATTTGTCGCCATCACATTAGCCCGGAGAGCAGGGGAATGATCTCATAAAGCCATCTCGCACTGTGATGGGATTGGATGTTTTCACAAGTCTTTCATTTTTACTACGGATGCGATTGCGATACAGCAAGAAAAGATCAAGACGTCGCTTCTCTGATGTGTTTAAATCCCTGTTATGTCCTTTTTTCCATTCTTTGTAAATTACAGCACCAATTAATTGGTACTGTCTGTTATCACTCACGTTCACCGTCACGCAACAATGCTGTTCTGTATTGGCAAGTTGTTTTCACCTTCCTTAACAAATCTCAAACGCTGTAGGAAATTCTGGAAATCCCAATAATCCAATATTTACTGCACCTCCAGTCTTTTCTTTCTGCAGAACCATCTATTCTTGCCAGGAATCTATTCGAGTCTCCTTTCATGTCAATTGAGTACCTCGTTCATGCATTATTAAGTAAATTGATGGCATTCTGTAGGACGTGTGTCTTTGTATGTGGAGATGTGTGTCCTTCTGTCAGTGTGGAGTAAGCACACTGTGGTGAAAAGGGAATTTGAAGCAAGAACAGAGTATTCCACTTTTTAAACTGTTACCCAGACACTAAAGACCTTTAGCTCAGATGTGACTTGTCACTCACAGGGTAGAATAGAGTCGGGGCTGTGCTGCTACCCCGAAGTACTTCCTAACAACCTTTTTATGAGCACACACTCACTCACACACACATATCAGGTACACAGGCTAACCCTTCCCTCCTAAAGTGGGTGCTCAACCTCCCATTTTCATCTTCTTTTTTGTCCCCCTTTCTCTCCCGCCGCCTTGTCCCCAGGATGTCTTGCTCATGGGGGAGGAGCTGGTGTCAGAGCCCTATTACTGCCAGCTTGAAGCCGAGACGTGCCGGCTGTTCTCCGAGCAGCTGGGCACCTTCGCCTTGGTTGGGGAGTCCCTGCACATGGGTGCTGCCAAGCGCCTGAGGCTGGTGCTCTTCTCAGATGCATACTGCTCAACGCTGGAGTACAACATCAGGGTGTACTGCATGGACGACACGCAGGACGTCTTCAAGGTAAAGTGTGACAAATGCAAAACCACCTGTTGTTCTCATAGGTTGCACACATTGGTCAGTTTGGCATCAGCTGAGTGATTGGTAGACCACAGTGGCTGAGAAGCACAGTAAAGTAAAGGCCACAACACAAACGCAACTACAAACAGCCGCAAAACAGAAACACAACCACAACAGAGGAGAGTGACTAGGGATGTTGACAATAAATAAGCAGAGTTACTTCCTGCGGTCAAGTGAGCTGTCATTTGTGAAAACCTGGACAAATCAGCCACTGCTTAAAATTTGACACCTGTAACGGCTTGAATAGACGAGCATCAAATCGCTTGCTTAATCGCAGCAATAAACTGTGCTTGTGTCATTGTCAGCGTTCGTTGTTGCTCACTTCTGTTGTGATTGCATTTCCATTGTGTGGCTTTTGTAGTCATGTTGTGTCTCTTGCATTTGGGTTTTCCACTTGTGTGAGACGTGTCTGCCACCGCTGTACACACTGTTGCACGGATTGCATTGTCTTCCCCTGTGAGGGTCAGTACAATGCAGTGCAGAGATGTAGGAGTTGGGCATAGTCATGGTAAATTGAACAAAACTGCAGGCACAGTTACACATGTGTGGATGTGTATTGAATCAAAGTGTAAATGTCCAGGTTAAACATGGTGTTCTGCACGGTCTGTGTTTTTGTGTGCACGCCTACAAAGATGTTACATTCCTTTCACGCTGTCTGTGGTTCTGCTCGGCTGCCCGTGGGCCGAGAAGTTCCCCATCACTTTGTTCAACAGCATATTTCACTTCTCTTTTTCTGCTCTCCACATGGACAGAGTATAATCAAGCACTAATGCCTGCCTCCCTCCCCCGAGGACGGCCTCTGAGTAGCCTGTTAAGATTTCATTTGCATGGTTAATTAGTAAATTAAAAGGAGAGAGCCCGTCCCAATCTTTCCAAGCAATCCCTCCCTCCGTTCTCCCTGTCTCTCACTCCCTCTCTCTCTCTCTCTCTCTCCACACCTCCCTTTCTCTCACTCCAAGCTGTTCCTCTTCATCTGACACCACCTACAGTCACAAGTGCCACTTCCCACTCGAGTCCACTTTTGCCGGCTGTAATGGCCGACCTCCTTGTGCAGAAGTTCGCCACCGGCACAATCTATGGATAGCTACGGGCCATAAACAATGGGCTGAAATTAGCACTCTTCTATTCAGGGAGTTGAGGATAAGATGAGAACGGCGCACGGTGCTGTAGCTGTGGGGTGGGAATTACCACAACCTCCTGGCTTACATCTGTCTTTTTTGTGGCTCAATTACGCCTAAGCTGCCATCTCTCTCTGTTTCTGACAGCTATTGCATGATTGCAGGAGCGTTCGGGAAAATTGCCGGCTGACGTTCGGCTGTGTCCTGACGCAGGGATTAATGCAAAAAATGCAGCATCCATAAGGTTAAGGCTGTACTGCGAGTTTTTTGTTGTTGTTTACTTGCTACCAAAGCAGTTCTAATGATAGGGCTGTCTTTATATATTCAGATCATCGGGTGACCCTGTGATGTTTGCTACAGTGTGACTGTCAATGACCTTGTGTTTCCTGTGTTGGTAGCAGGAAGGCTGCTGGTGCACAAAACCTCTTTCTGTCTGTCTTCCTCTGCCTCTGGCTGGCTCTTGTTCTGCTATTCTCCTGCTCTCTTAGTCAGGAAAAGGACATCTGAGCTTGTTGACTCCGGCACTTGTGCTGCCATACTCTGCGGCTCCCTCGGCGCCCTTGAGTGCATTAGCTCCCCGTCTCCCACACAACCTGGTCCTGTGGTAAGCCGTGGCGTCTCCAGGGCTCTGTAGTTTTTAGTGAGTGATTTAGAACTTGGCCCAAGCTGTTTAGTAATCTTGACTTCACACTGCTCTTGGTGCTATAATGGAGGTAGCAGTTCATTTAGCAAGTACATTAACCACTTTGAGTGGAGATTAAACTTCCCTGGAGAGGTTCAGTCTAATCACTAATCACTATCTTTAAAATGCACCATTTATGATTAGACTTTCTCTATGGCGACCATTAGAGTTAATTGTTGTGTATAACAGTGGTGCAGGACCAGTAGGGGGTACAGTGCAGTAGTGCAGCAGCCTGTTTTATGTTGGCGTAGATACAGAGTACACCTTCAGCACATGTGAATTTTATGACAGTACTCGGAGCCCTCTGAGGCAACTGCGCCTCTTTTATCAGACAAGAAGTCAACGTCCCATGCATTAAACAGGCTGTACTTTTGATGGGAGATGAAAAAAAGAACAGAAAAGGGCATTTTTCTGTCTTCTCTGTTGACTACTCTGTGGCAGGAAGAACTGGAGGTTTTCTCTCCAGTCGCATCGCTGGCTGTCAGTCGGCTCTGACAAGCCTCCATCAGAGAGACTGACAGATACACACACCCACAAACACGGGAGCACACGCATGCACAGGCTGTACCATGCAATCTCTTATCTCCCAATTACAGCAGATTAGAACCAATGTTATTGTCTTTGATCCGAAGTGTGTGGGGGCTCTGGGGAAACAGTGACATTTCCGTCTGATCCGTGCCGTATGTTAGCAGGACTCTGCTGGGACCAATTAAGTTAATATTTAATGTGTGTCCCACTCTTGACGGGCCCAGCCAAGGCTGGCACAGCAGCAGAGGAGTCATGATCAGCGTTTGGTAGCACCCTCGCTGTGCATTCGCTTGTTCCCAGCTAGACCTGTGGGATAGCATCACTGATGTTCTGCCATCCCACAACTGATTGAAACACCTGCAGTGAACCGAGCCTGCGACTCAGTACAGAGACAGACCACCATCTAATTAAACTGGAAGGGTGCCGACAAAGGTGTGTTTTAAGGACAGGGATACGCTGCAGCAACTTTTGTAATATTTTGCTGTGATATTTAGAATCAGTCAGCTTTTCATATTAAGGACAAAACACTGCTGGGTGAGCCTAATCTACATTTACTGGAACAATAAGAACATAATTATTTAGCTGTTTACTGATCGTCTAACTAAATGTTCTGCATTTTCACCCACATGTCTGTGTTTTGTAAGTGTACTGTTAAAAGAAACATGTCGAATGATTTATAAACCACCCACTTTCTGTCAGATTTATTGTTTAGAGGTTGAAGCACAAGTCATTTTTCCCATATTAAGCTGCAGCATTTCTGTCCCTCGCAGTGAGGGAGCAGCAAGCCGATTGGCCGATACAGAGCTTATTGGACGGGCTGGGGTGTAAGGTTTAACCATGTCCTGTATGTAGACTGGGCCTGATCAGTTCTCGCTTGTGGCTTGAGGCAGATGCGGACAGCCACTGGTAACCAGTGAAGGGAGCGGAGGAGCAGTGTAGTGTGATAGAACTTAGCTCACTGCATTCTGGATGAGCTGCAGAGGTCAGATGGCACTAGCAGGCAGACCAGCCAGCAGGGAGTTGCAATAGTCTTATATATGTGTTTAATACTTCAAAATACACTTGATGTTACAGTCTCTGTCTTTGCTGTCTAGAATAGCTGCTAATGCCTCCCAGCATCTTCAGCTGATGCAAACACCAGCCGTATTTCTACATACAATACATTGTGTTAACTTTCTTTTGTAATACAGCTGGGTTTATATACGCGTTGCTGCTGATTTTTCAACACCTCTGATATACCATGGGATATTTTCAAATGGTAAAAAAAGCCTTTAAACCCTAAACGTTGTATTTCAGGTGTAAGAATTTACACTTTTATCAAAGTTTATGTGTAGAGGCCACTACATTCAGCTTGTTGTCTCGTGAAGGTAAAAAAGTATGTTCATTGTTAAATGGCTGTTTAATTGATGGTTACTGGTTATTAAATAGTGGCTCCTGGTTTCTTTTGCACACCGTGTGACCTTAAGCTATTATTCTTATTTGCCTTTAAAAGGACTCGTAAACTGTTTATGTGCTCCAACTATGACATTTGCTCGCTAGCTCCTGAGCAGCGAGATATATTTAAGCAGAACCCTTTTTGCTTTTAATGTATCAGAGGAGACCAGCACACATGGTGTAATATTAACAGCTTCGGTGATTCCTCCATCAGAATGGTTACTGGCAAGGAATTCCAGCAAGAAAAGCAGAAGAGCACAGCCCAGTAATTGCTGGCATTAAGTTAAACAAGACAGTGAGCTTTATCACCATGCCCAGCTGAGAAATTGTTTCTATATTATATTCCTGTGTTCCCGTGTGCTGTTTTCTCCAGTGCCGCTCTATGATTTATCAGGGGGAATGTGCATCTTTTTCCTCGCAAACACAGTCCCCATTTATAACTCCGCAGACAAGTCCCTTCTATTTGTAGTTATTAATCAGAGTTGACTGTAGCGGGCATGGCCACTGGAGCTCAGACTGATAGACTCTCAGTCAGAGAGGAAAAGCCTGTCACATCCTGCTGACAAATACACAGATTTATGGAGCCCACATAGCTGGACTACTCTCTATAAACAAATGCATTTGCCTGAAAAGAGCAGCTCTGAAAATGGATCATCTCTACGAATGCACATTTTTAAGCACACGCGAGGACGCAGCGTCGCTGAGAGTGGAGGGGTGACGACGAGTTTATGGGAATAAGCGTGCGTCGCTCCCCGTGTTGCGGTTGACACGTAGCTTGACTAATTAACTGATCAAACTCTGTATTATAATCCCTGTCAGAGGCCGTTAACTTAATCAGTTTATTACACAGCATGACAGAACAAAAGACGACCACATGTAAGAGCATGACCTTGCTGTGAGGAAAGTAGAATATTTTAATATGCAGCTTTGATCCAGTCAAGTTTAGACACACACGCATATATATAGTTCTTATATATATATATATATATATATATATATATATAGCTGCCTTTTAGTTTGATTTGTGTGGAGTGTTTCTCTCCTGCATCCAATGTCTGGCCTGGCTGTTTTTGTTGCGAGAGAGTTTGGTGCAACTGCTAACCTCTTTCTGTCAGCACCAGCCTGAGGAGATTAGCTGTGTGAGTGTCTCTTGTTCCCCTGGTGGAGCCCGTCCCCAGTCCATCACAGTCCCAGCTGTGGTCCGAGCCGAGAGGATGAGAGGATGGGGTGAGGAAGAAGGGGCTGGGGGCGGGGCAGGGGAGGTGGGTGAATGAGGATGAGGAGGGAGGGCTGAAGTCATAGAAAACTGTGGCCATGATTGCAGTAATCCTGTTATCTCTCCTGCTAAAGCCGGCCACTCTAGTGACCCGGAGACACAAATGTTAAGCTCCCTCTGTCTCTCTCCTCTCTCTCCCGCTCCTGCTCTTTTTCACTCCTCCCCTGCTCTATCTCACTCTCTTTAGCCGGCCTCATTGAATGCCAGGGGGTGGTCTTGGCTCTGTCTGACTCTAAATTCACAGTCTTTACACACACCACAGGCTATCACAAATTCCGTCAGAACAAAAGGGGTTTTTCTCCTGCAGTACTTGAACTTCTTGCCCGTCTCATGCATCTTAATGTTTTCCGCAGCTGTACAGGGGTCACGGTGTCTTAGAAAACCGCTCCTCTTCTTATCTCCGCCAAATGGCAACACAAATTTTGGCTCCCGGTCGATGATTAATATGTGATGAATCAATTCAAAACCGTTGCTTTGTTTTCCCCCAGAAAGAGTAAATAATACGGTCAAATTTAGCTTCTCATCAATTAGCTCCCTCACGCTGTCATTTGTTAACGGGATAATGGGGTGTAAAGAGGGCCATTATTCTCCCGGTCCAGAACATATGCTGGAATCCTGCACAAAAACGGAGCCACTCAGGCACACACACAAACAATATACAAGCAAAAATACGGTGTCATTTGAGAGCGAGGACACGTGCACGCTGTACTGAAGCGAGTGCGTGTCCCCCCTCGGTGAGCTCGGTGTCCCTGTCAAATAGCGGGGGTGCCATGTCCTAGACCCTGTTTGATTGTAATCCTGCCGTGTCAGCTTTGAACCTGACAAACTGCGAGCCAGGCAAGTTAGTATTCATTCTAGTCACTCGCTGTTGATAATAAGATAATTGGCATTCTGCGCTCTTTCCCTCTGCTCGCAGGCCTATAGATCCACTGGTATAGGTCAAAACCCTGATCAAAGTCTACCAGCCTCGATTTGCAATGCTAATCATCCCCAACAAATAATTGCGCTTAAGAACTGCATTAAATGAACCTCTCTGGAAGCCCTCATAATGTGCCTTTTGTCTGCATTAGAGACATAATAGCAGAGGGCTTTTTAATTCTGCGGAGAATGCGCTGCCCCCGTTATTAACTCAGTAGACCTCAATGCTTTGATTTAGAGCCATTGTCTGACCTTCTCTCGCTGAGTAAGTGGGCTGGGTAACATCACAAGGCTCCGGCGTGGCAGTACAGTAGGGAGATTATTCCAGACAGGCACCTTCAGTCAGGGCATTGTGCTCCACCCATTGTTTGGTGGAGTTGGGGTGAAAAGAATATAACAGTGTAGATGCAGGAATAATCATGTTCGGGGTGGGGGGGTGCATAATATCCATGTTAACGAGAAGATAAGGAATCAAGCAAACATGTAAATTAGCAACACGCCAAACAAACACGGAAATTCAATTCTTGAGCTGAGCCGGAAAAGTGCTCACTGGCTGAAGAAGAGAAGCACATCAAATAACAACAGCAGGTAGAGATTCCAAATGGATAATTAACAGCTTCCGTTCCTTTATAATTGGAATCAGTCTAGCCCGTTCCTGGGAAAGAGTGCAGAAAATTGAATCAGCGTTGTGCAGTTAGAAATTAGTGCCATTCTCTTCCTTAATTAGATGTCTTTGCTGAAATCATACCATAGGCAACCACGCTGGCATGCAGCACTCAACATATGGCCGCTATCATACACACATCTCCCTCCAGGAGCCACGTCTTCGAGATGTGTCTCCCAGACACCGAGGCATGTTCTGGCTGCCTGTTTTCTCCATGCTGCCATCTTGTTTTCCCCCCTCAGACAGATTAAAGGAACATATCTTATTTCTGAGGTCTTTTCACACTCCTAATTTCAGAGGTCTGTTTTTCTCTGTTGTAATATGCTCCTCTGAATAGAGCGGGAGGTTGCACGTGTGAACACCATCCAAAGGGCTGGATTAAGGACTCGTTCGGCACAAAAGCATACAGCTCAAAAACCGAAGTGATAGATCAGAGGAAAATGCGGCGGATATTATCATCCCATTCCAGATGGTCATTTGGACAGCAACAAATGGTCCACTGAGCAAGTCCCACAGAGATTAAAATATTAAGCATGCATTTACAAATCTCTCCTGGCACAAAAACAAAAATGAAATTAAGGAGATTCGCCATGCGAGAACAATGAGCAGTTGACTAATGGCTCGTTGGCTGACTTCATCACTGCCCAGGTAGCTAGTAGGCCAGAGTGAATGGAGTGTTTGCATGCTAATGCAGCTGCTAGAATCCGGGGCCTAGGCACACACACACACACACACACAGACACAGAGGCAAGGGATCAACCTTGTGGTGACATTAAAGTCAGCTCGCTGCGGCCGCATGCAGAGATGATATCATCCTGTCCTAAGATGTACTGTACCCCTGCCTCATGCTCATGCTGTGTGTCTGTCGCGGTATGCGTTTGTGTCTGTGTGTAAATGTTGAAAAGGCCCGATCTCACAATGTTGAAGGAGAAAAAAAACCTAAATCTGAAATAATATTAAATGGTTCTTCTAGGATCCATTAAGCATTCTGCCACCAAGTTTGATGATGATCCGTCCAGTTGTTTTTGCTTAATCCTGCTGACTGACAGACAATCAAATGCAAATGAAAACAAAACCTACTTGAAAGTCTAAATAAGAACGCTGTGCAAACCTGTGTGTTGTTTTCATTGTGTCAAATTTGCAGACAATTTCTTGTTTCAACCTGTGCAGTTGTGTGTGAATTATGAGGTAGAGACACAGATATGGATTGTTTTTGCACATTTTCACTTACCTCTGTGTCTGCGATGGTAAATGTGTTTCCTCTGACACCTCTCCTCTCCCTCTTCTCTCCCTCTCTTGCTCCTCTCCCGCTCTCTCTCTTTCATCAGGAGGTGATGCAGATGGAACGGCAGCTCGGGGGTCGGCTGATTGACGAGCCTCACGTCCTCCTCTTCAAAGACAGCTACCACAACCTGCGCTTGTCCATCCACGACATGCCCCAGGCGCACTGGAGGAGCAAGCTGCTAGCCGGCTACCAGGTGTGCTGGGGGGCCGTGGGGGGCCGCAGGGGCAGGGAGTCACTGCAGATCAGAGCGGGAGCACGGAGATGTAATACAAAGTGCCTGGCTGTATCCGTGAAATTTGAGCATCAGCTGTTACATGGGCTTTTTTTTAAGTGTTTCTTTGTATACTCAATTTAAAACCCATGCTGTCTCTTGTTATTCTAAATTGGCCATTTAGAGAAATTAAAGAAGAATAGAGAACGTGTTGGCAAGAGTGATACAACTGAGTAATCAATAGTTTTTCAGTAGCTTGTTTTTGTTATTGTTCTGTGTGTCACATCAGATACTGAAGTCAATACACTTACATGTAATACACTTTGTACATAGTAGACTCGCTGGAATAGTACACGAATCACGACCACGATTGTCCCCCGCCAAAATATCTACTTTGCTGTTGGCTCAGGGTCCTCCTTCCTCGGCCACATTTTCACAAATTCAGAAGTAAAGGTCTAAGTCTGTAATTTTCTTCTGAAATTTTCACACGTTTTACATAAATACGACCTCACACTGTGTCAATGATTTTTACACACCGATGACCAAAACTGTTTTCCATCATTTAACGTTCGATTTGCTGCATTTTTCGCATCTGTCAAAGGCTGTTTGGGATCAATTGGTTCAGAGAATTTTCTTTTCTTCTTTCTAATGTGCGATCTTAGTGCTGGTAGCATATCAAACACAAATAGACCTCAGAGCAATCGGGATAATTTCGCAGCTCCTTGATCAGAAGATGAAATTCTCCTTGTTCCTGACAGCTTGTCAGGACCCAATGAACCCAATGTTTTCTTTTAGTTTTTTCAAGAAATGAGAGAACCACAAAATCCTCCTCACTGCTGGTCTCCATTTTATCTCCTTCTGCAAACTTTCGGAAAAAATCGATGTATAATAATAATAATACAAAATGCATCGGACTCAGTGTGCAAAGTTTCTGGGCCCGAAACTTTTATTGGATGACAGACCTAAAAAAATGTATAAGAAAAATATGGACTTTGTGTCCAAAGAAGTTAAGTTGGTGGTGCCTCTTGTGCAGATGAGAAGTGTCCTTTGTTTTGCACTAAACTTCCTGACCATTTTGAGTGCACCAGCTGGGTACTATAGTATACTTATTATGCACTGCATGTTACCACAATTGTGTAACCGTCCTGTTGTCTCTCTGGAAAGTTGTTTCCATTTTAGTTGGTCCAGAGTTTTAATTAGGTTTGTTTTGGTTTGGCTTCAGCTGATCACACAAAGGAGTCTTTTTCAGTCTGTTACTGCAATACTCCTCCATCCAATAACCTTTCTCTGTTTGGCACTGTGTGCAACTTGAAGTCATTTGTTAGCGTCGGAGACCTTTTGTGTGTGTGTGCACCCCTGTGGATAGAGTGCATGTTTTTGCCCACTCATGCCTGCACACGAGGTGTATACATGTGCATATATATCGGGTAGCTGGGGTGTGTGTGCACTAACCCAGAGCCGCAAGCTGATTGATTATCCAAGCTGCCTGCTCTCTCAAAGGGAGCGCAGATGAAATATAGAGCACTATGTAAATATCTGGAACTTAAGAACCTGAATCCTGGAACCTGTCCTGCACTCCCCACACCTGCGAGGTCCACCGCACTGCAGCCAGGCAACGGAGACACAAGAGCTGTTCAAAGAGGACTAGAAAACATTCTGGCTGTAACTATGTAAGCACTGAGCACCAGGTCCCCGAAGAGCACGAGCAGGCTGTGCCAAGCAAGCAGTGGCAGCAACAATGCACCCAGAACAGAGGCTTATTACTCTGGACTGTGCCTGTTCATTTGGAAGTGTTATTCCCCTCTCAGCAGTGCGGTCAAAAAAGGCCTTTAGTCTCCCTGGGGTCCCATGAAGACGTTTGCACCCAGCTCCCTCAGCTGCAAGTCAGCCTGGGTAACAGTGCCCCCGTTTGGTTGAAAGGATGAACTGCAGCCCCTCACCCCGGTCTCAAACTGAGTTCTTGTCAGCTGTTAAACCAAGGGTGAAGCGAGGAGTTAGTGTGCTCTGTGTTTTTTTTTTTTACCTGTCTGCTTCTCTTGAGATATGCAAACAAGACATGAATATAGAGCAACAGAGAGAAAGATGCAGAAAGCAATTTACCAGACGGAGTCTAGTCCTGTACACTGGTGGTGCTCATACCTATAATGTATACGTGTAAAGTAGGGGTGTGATGATTCAGCTTGTAGAATATCTGCCTCATTTGTAGCTGTGCACAAACTGAAGAAAAGAAAAAAGAGGCTGAATCAACTGTAACATATTAAGTAGAAAACAACTCCCATGTCAGACATATACTGTAGAAATGGTGTACAGCTGTTGACTCCCTTCACAGCAACATATCAATAACAATCATTTCCCTTGACCTTACCTAAGTGATGTCAGTCTGCTGGATATATTTAGCTGGTCTCACCTAACAATGACAGCTTATGTCAGTGTAATTAATGAGCTCGGTGTATTTTAGGCAGGCGGTGCTGTTAAAGCCTCGTTTCAGACACGCAGTTCTGACTGTGCCGCTGATTTACCATATGTGTGTGCCGCCCTGTCTCTTCTGCAGGAGATCCCGTTCTACCACATCTGGAACGGTTCCCAGCGGTACCTGCACTGCACGTTCACTCTGGAGCGGCTCAGCCTCGGCACCTGCGAGCTCACCTGCCAGCTGTGTGTGTGGCAGGTGGAGGGGGAGGGACAGAGCTTCAGCCTCGACTTCAACATCGCCAAGGTAATTCTCAGCATAAGTACTCAAGCTGCAACTGATTACTCAGCCGCTATTACTCAGCAAATTCATATCTCCATAAATGAACTGTAATTATGCTGTGCAGAGAAGAAAAAAAAGTTTTATGTCTGCTGTTCCCTAACAGGACACCCGAGCTGTGGACTCTGAGTTTCTGTTGATGGACAGTAACGCCACAGCTCTGGCAGGACCCAGCGCATTTCAGATCCCGTACCTCATCAGGCAGAAGATCTGCAGCAGCCTGGATGCTCCCTGTCCCAATGGAGCTGACTGGAGAATGCTAGCACAAAGACTTAAACTTGAGAGGTAAATAGCAACTGTATAGTACCACACTGCCTTATCTGATCACTGATTGGAGCACGCAGAAATTGCACCAGAGCCCCGAACTCCATTGGGAATAGAAGCTGCACAGCAGCATTCGCACTAATAGGTTAAGAAGTCAAGATCTCCTGCAGGAGTCAGTCCACAGAACCCTGAAGCTGCACCACAGCTGAACTGGAGAATCAGTTACATTTGTAAATGGTCTGTATTTATACAAGACCTTTCTAGTCTTGATGACCACTCAAAGCACTTTACAGAACAGTTTTTTCACACACACATTCATCCAGTGCATCTGTATGCAGCACTTTCTCTCTGAGAAGGGGAAACTTTGGGGTTCTTTATCTTGGACACTTCAGCAAAAGGAATGGGAAAGATCAACATAGTCACTTATGCTGATAAGTTGTAGTCACTGCTGGTACAGAGCGCTGGTTTATTTACAGTGAAATTATTGCACCAAATTGAACACTGCACTTCCTTAGGCCCTTTGCAAAAAAAAGAATGAACAGATATGCATTCCACATTCATTCAGACAGACAGAAAGAGATTTCTGGAAATAGTCAATAAATGAAGCATTTGATCACACATGGTTGAGAAGGGTCATACTAACCGAGGTTAACATTCAACTGTGAAACTCCAGCCACTTTAAGAAATCCGGATGAAGTGCAACACCACCACAGTGGAGTGTTTTTCCTAAAGTTCAAGTAAACAAGGTTCTGCCTTGACAAACTAATCCTTCGACACAGCTAACGTTACAGGATTAATGTGGACTAGATGGATACAGCCATCATTTCCATAAGAAAACATGACCCCCCCACTCTCTTCAGGTAAGCAGCTTAGACTCTGCTGCTAAACTTGTACCTGCCGCATTCTGCTTAACAGCTGTAATTGGAAAGGTAGCGAGCGAGCTGCCCATCAGCAGCAACTAAAGATGAAGTAGTGCTGGATCTGTGCCGACCTCAGTAACTGTACTTTATCACCGCGGTACCTATAACAGACTGCAGCCGTGCATTGATCCCTTATCCTCCAATTTAATTTCTACATTGTAATGGAATCAAATAGCTGCACTTAATTTGTCCAATCAACTTTATTTACCCAAATTAATCACAAATTGAATTGATGCACTGTGGGTTTAATTAGCAATTGTTTTGCTCAACATAATCAATTCTCATTCAGGCCTCAGGAAGAAACAACTGCTTTGCTGTTTGATCCGTCCTTAACAACATGTTGTTTGTTTTTTCTGAGAAGGCAGCGGCTGCCTGGCTTTCTGTCACGCTGTATTTCTCAGTTTGTCTCTGTGTGGGTAAAGTGTCCAGACCGAGCGGAACGGGACCAATCAATAAAACTTAAAAATGCCAAGAACCTTTTATTTGATCTTTTTCCCCAAAGATGCGCCGCCGTACAAGATAAGCTCGTGTTTCACACAACGAGGTGAATAAGCAGGGCTGACACGTCGGGACGCTAAGCTCTGTCTTTTTTTATCTGAATAATGACACAGAGCTTCATTCCCTGACCATTTTTTCGACCAACACTTCCCTCTGTTGTGCTTTCCCGACGCAAAGCGAAGACTTTGTGTGTGTGTGTGTGCATGCGTGTGTGTGTGCTATGAAATCCAATTGACTCAAAAATAGCAGAGCGACACTGTCTTCTCTGCTTGTGCACTGGTAAAGCAGCCGCATGTTTATAGCCATCACAGAACGCTCCACTAGGCAAACAGAAGATGTGAGGAAGTAATGGACTCTGTCTGACCTTTGTCAAGGTGAAAGGAACTTGTTGGGGTTTTTGGATTTCCTGCCTCACCCCCTCCCACCCGGCAAAAACACTCACGCAGCAACACACCTCTATGTGCCCTGAGTTTACACCGCTCTCTTTTGTTTGTTTTTTTCCTGTGTCATGTGTGCTCTACATAACAGTTAAAGCCCCAGACATTTGAAGAACAGGAAAAGGCCATTAAATCAAACAAGCATCTTCGGGTGCTGCGGAGATTAGGTCCCACTCAACATCAAATATACAGCCGGCTGGGGCCACTGCTTTGTTGTCATTGATTGGGTTTGATCGTAAAGGTTCCTGCTCCTAAAATGGAAAAGGTCACTTCCGACTTAGCTGTGAAAGTCCGTATAGGATTCACTATATGGGATTTAGGGGCAATTTCGACATCAAATGAAGAGGAATGAGGCTTATGGTGTTAAAGCTTCAAATGAAAATTGCCAGAGATTCGGTATTTGATGGCTGTTTGAAGAGCCAGACTGAGCGCTTATACCTTTCATCATTTTTTTACTTATTGCTCCACCCCGGCGTATCAGGACGTAGCAGTATAACACAATAAAACTTGACATTGACAGAGTTACAAGAAGCGGTGGCAAAATAAACTAGCAACTGAAGAGGTTCTCCTAAGACTCCGTCAATGGAGAGAAAATGTGAGGCTGTCCATTTGATTTGATAAAATGTGCCCTCACCGTTATTTCTGTGCTTTCTTCTGCAGACACATGAGTTTCTTTGCATCCAAAGCGAGCCCGACCTCTGTGATCCTGGACCTGTGGGAGGCGCAACATTTCCACAGCGGCAACATCAACCAGCTGGCCGCGGTCATGGCTGACATTGGCAAACAGGAGGCCATGATATTCCTGGTCTCTGATGGCGAGTGCTAACCCAGAAAACAGAGACAGACTGGTGCAAAGAGGAAAAAAAGTACACAACACAACAACGACACAAAATCCCCCCCCCACCCCCCCAACGATTACAGCAGCAGGAATGGAAGACCAGAGCTGCCCCAGTGTCCCTCGTCTTCACTTTAGAAGACAGTGAATGGTTTGTGACAGATCGAGTCCCCATTTCTTGACCAAATGACCAAATGAGGAGAAAGGTAGAGCGGAGGTGCTTTGGGAAATGTATTCATGAGCTCAAAAAATAAATACTCTTTATTTTTCCATCAAAGTTCCAAGTGAGTCCCAACCCTGCTTCTACTTTAAAGATCACTTTAAATTAACTTCATGCCTTTTTCCACAAACGAGCCGTTTAAGGCTAACGAGGAGCAATATGCAAACATAATGCTATGACTAATGTCCAACACTGCAAATTCAGCCAATCATTTCTGAAGTTAGGTTAATACAAAGGGATGTGACAAAAAAAAGTGTCGGTCATTTCAGGTTCAAGAGGCGACATATGCAATTGGCAGGTTTGTCACGTGACATCATCACACGCTGAACGCATTTGTAATGAGGTCATCAGGGTCTGTGAACGTCTCCTCCTGTCCATTCTCAAACACACTGTACAGATGGACATCTTCAATGTGGTGTTTTTTTACACACACACACACACACGTACTCATACAGGCGGCTTGTAGCACATCCTGGACTTGCAGGTTTAAAGCAGATTGTACGTCAAAGCCCCAAAACCTGTCTCATCTTGTTTGTGTGTGTTCTTTTTTTTCTTTTCTTAGTCCAGCCGGTATCACTACTGTGAATATAACATCTTGACATCTTGATTTAGCGAGACGCTTCGCAGCCTTCCTGCTTCTAAATCGATATATGTGGAGTTCTGTTTCTTTTGAACTTATTTTTAAAGGGAGAGTGAGAAATATCTTCACTAAAGTCATATTTCAGAAGCCATTTCTATTTAAAGCCTGGGATTTTTGATCCGTCCATTCTCGTTTCAAGTCTTTCCCAAGCCTTTTGTTTTCTCTGAAATTCAACAGCTAATGAAGGAGCCATAGGGCCAAAAGGTGTTCCAGTTGCATATACATACACATATTTGTATATGTGGGCAGTAATGTCCTGAAAACTCATTTTCAAAATGACATTTTCCCCTTGATTACATTAATTCTGAGATGTTAGACATAACAACTTGGCCACAAGGGTTATTATCCCCCATGAATAATGCAGAGCACTTTCCCACAGAAAATCTGCCAGCAAATTCTTCAAAAATCGTCACCAGATTACTCGTGTGGAAAGGCTGATTGTGCAGCTTTGTTTTGATAATTCTTAAAGCAAGTCTCTATTTGCTGTGCGGCAAATAGTATCAGAGAAACGCCTGTCTCTCAGAGAAAGTTAAGAGTGGCTTATTCGCACTGTCACGCCTCTGCTCACAAAAGATTTGCTTTGTACGTGAGTTCTTTTTATTGTCATTGATAGCCAGTGTGGCAAAAAAAAAAAATCGGTTTAGTCTCACATCAAACCATAAACTGCAACTACACATTAGATTATTTTTCTGTATTTTGCTTCTTTGCATTGATGTTCACAGTGTTCAGTAAATGGATCTGTCAAGTCAGGCAACTTGCATACAGTATATCTTTGAGCTCCGCTGGTTCAGTAATTACTTTGAAAAAAAAAAAGCAACAGCAATCCCAAACTAGCCATAGTTTCTCCGTCTGCCTCAGGGTTGCATGTGAAGTTGTGTGTTCAAAGTTATAAAGAGAGCCCCCCCCCCCGCGTCATTAAATCCCCTCTTATCTCTCCGCAGCTAGCACGGCCCAGCCCACCAGCTCCTGTGGCTTCGACCTTTAACACTGACCTGGAGCCTCTTTTATGATTGTCAGATATTTGGAATGTACATTTCTGTTTCCCTTTGGCGGAGCACGTCTGTTTTCCACTTTTCGAAATTCCCCATTTTGTTTTTATACGACATCCCGGCACCTGCTCAATCCTTAAGCCTATTTCAATCACATCAAACACGCCTCTTCTCGACCTACGACACTTTTTACAAATCGCTGCATTGTTTTGATGTAGAGATACCATACAATACCTTTTTTTTAATTACTATTACAAAACCTTTGAATCAAGCCCCTTTCAGATAGAATTGTGATACCACCTTAATAAATGAATCTTTTCATGTTGAAATGGATCATCGTCGCGTGTAATATGTAAATACTTTTTCTATACCAGCCGTGTGCTGTCACTTTGCATATGTATATCAGCAGAATTGGTAACCAAAGTTTTCTGAGTATCGTTTGAGGCCACTACATCCTCACATTGTATCCATTCAGATATTGTTTCAGCGTCGTTTTACCTGCAGCTAGTATAGAATAAGTCAGAGTTGCTGTCTCTTCTAAAACTAGTCATTATGAGTCATTACTTTTATCTACTTTCCTCGCTTTTGTCTTGAGGCAAAATTGATGCTGTCTGTTCAACAGTGATGTGTCCGTTCATTTTACCACTTTGTAAAGAAATGTAAATTATATTTTAATATAAAGCCAAAAAAAAGACACTTAACTGGCGCAGCATTTGTCAAGTCGAAACCGTGACGTGTTTGCCTATATACTGTCCTTTGGCGATCTAGCAGTGAAGACTTATTGCAGTGTTAAGGGTTTTAGAGACTGTTTTACAGGAGTTTCTATACACGTTTTGTTCGTCCTTACATTGCATTCATCTATTTTTATGGTTTCTCTAAGTGTGAGCATTTACAGACGAGGTGGAAGCGGCACTTAACGCTCGTGTGGTGGCTGTGTGGAGGGAGAGAGAATCAGTTTCTCGGACACCAACAGGCCAGTGTTGACACAGCATGTTTGGATGAGCCATGGCAGTTGTACAGTCTGACTGTGTGTGAAATTTTATCACCCCTGTACTCGGCTTGGATGTGTTGTCTAAGCACATTTTCAGTAATGTAATTCACCAGCCACCGGTACATTCTGCATTTATCTTCACATTTGAGTTGTCCGACAAATCTGCAATTACTGTGCGTGTTTGTTCTCCTCATGATGAAACCTGGGTCTGATAGTTCTGTATGGGTAAAACACAATGGTTGTTCAAGGCTTCATCTTTTCACCTGTGTAACAGAAGGAAACATCTCTCAATTATACTTTTTGCATCACAGTGTCAAGAACGCGTGTGTGTGAGATTGTGTGTGTTTGTTTGTGTCTGTGTGTGTGTTGGTGTGTGAATACCTCCCTGTCACTCTGACTGAACTGTTTTCTTTTTTTGAACTAAAACATTAGACGTCCGTATTTGTGAATGTTTTTTTTATTAAGTTCCTTGATTCAATGTTTCCTTGCCTTTCTGCAAGTCAAAAATGCTGTATTTATTACATGCCACAGCGCTTATGCAATTGTATAATCCTTCTTTTTTTTTTTTTCATTATGTGTTTGTTTTTTTTTAACCTTTTGTGTTCCTTATCGTCAGTGTAAATTGTTGTCAAAACTTTTGTGGCAAAGAAAAACTTCTGCTAAGGGAGATTTTCTGTACTTTTTTGGACAATGATATGGATTTGTGGGTAGAATTTTGGAAATTCGTTTCTAAGTGCTTTCAAGTATTTACTTGGCCTTATGTATATATATATCTATCTATGACATTTCAGAAAGGTATGTATAGTAATTCAACCTGAAATTGTTGTAAATAAATTATATATTGTTAAATGAAGGACTGGATCTTTTGCTTGAAAAATGAAATTCACAGGAGTCAAACACTCATCAACAGGAGAAAATGTTTTTAAAGGAATAGGTCAACATTATGGGGGAAACGCTTGTTTAGAAGATCACTTCCTGCCACTATCCAAAAATGGAGCAAAAATATTCCGGATACAAATGCTGCCATGTTGTTCCTCTGTGATCAGGGTATGGGGCCACGGTCTCAGGGTCCCGCCTTTACAAATGCCTGACGAAATGAAAATCAGTTTCAGCTGTCAATATGTTTTTAAAGCATCAAAAAACTAACTAATACCAAACTTACTGCATAAATTAACAGTTGTGATAAGAACTACTTAAGATGAGAAAAATGTACTTGACTCGTGTTCCATCCACTAACATGGAGAGAGTGGGGTTTATGACTTTTACTACAGACAGCTACCAGCGGGCGATCAAGACTTGCAGAGAGTTGCAGGTCGTCCATCTTTATTTACAGTATGTGTTCTTTTCACTCCCTCCAACAGCTTCCCTCAACTTGTTTACCTAAACAAGGACGTGTGTTTACTCGGTGTTAGTTACAGGAGAAAGATGTAAGCGAGGAAAAAATCCAGCAGGGGAATTTGAGTTTACAACAATTTCAAGTGTCAGATCAGATAAAGAAATTATTTCCATTCTCAAACTATTTCTATTTCATTATTTTATTTGTATCATTTTAATGCGACGAGGTAAAACTATAGTTTTTCACAATCTACTGCCATAGATTATTTGTTACAGTTAACCCTTAGGTTTTTTCCCCAAACCTGACATTAGGAGCCACTGAGCTGGAGCCATGAAGCTGTTTGCGTAGCGTCCCATAAAGATGAGAAACAAGGGGATCATTAAATCTTATTTGTCGTATTAGAACAGACATTTAGAAACAAAAACATGTGATTTGAAATGCAGTTTTCAGTTATTAAATTGAAACTACTACATTGTCAAACATCAATCTGTTCACCTGGCCAGTGCTTCGGTGCACCGTTTACACTGTACAAGATTCTCTAATTCTCTAATTTCAGTAAGCAGCTCCCAATAATCACCGTTTTCACATCCATCCATCTTCCATCTGTTCTTGAAAAGTTTAAACAAATGAAAAATCCTGTGTTGGTGAGCTTTTACATGTATTTATATAGTGATCTTGCTAACTCTTGGTGAGAAAGCAAATGAGTAATATGACATTTAGTTTACATGTTAGTCATTTCCTTTCTACATCTAGAGAATGTGTACACTAAAGATATTCACTAAAATCTGTTTGTGTAAAGCTTGATTGTTTTTTTAAAAGGCACTTCTTGTACTCACAACACAAAAGACATGAGAAGTCAATTATCCTGTTGTTACGGAGCAGGTGTTAGTAAGAGCAAAACATTGGTCGATGATGGTTTCAACTCTAAAACACACTTCCACCCAGAGTGTTCTGCCCCAGCACATGGGAATACTAAACAATTTTATTTGAAACTACAAAACAACAACACTTACAGGGCCATTCTGAAGCAATATAAATACATATTCAACAATGGCTTGAAAGTATTCAAAGGAAGAATAACAATACCATAGAAACATGATGGATAAACACATTAAGATCTTTTTTCTCCTTATATTAAAATGTCTTATAAAAGATTTCAAAGCTTTGACGTATCTTTGCCTTAACAGAGTGAAAAGTTAAAATACAATATCAGCCCTCCCCCCTCCATCGCCCACACAGATCAATTAAGGATTATTATACGACTCAAATTAAATCTATAACCTGCAGTACGTGCTCTGATTAGCCAGAGCTTAAGTGATAAGTTCAGCAGTTAGTGCTATTGTGAAGAGGTCCGGTCGAGCAGAAATGGGACACCCCCTCTGTTCTGCTCCGCTGGACCCCCATTATGATAATAGGCACAGTGGTGAGAGTCAGTGAGTGGGCCAGGGTCCTGAACGGGGCCACCACTTCTCCACACTTAGCAGTGATGGGTCATTACTGCGATATGTGAAATCATTAGACGTGAATGACTCCTCCAACTCGGAAGACACCGACTTGATCTTACTTCAGAACAAGGACAAAATTAGACGCGTTGAGAAACTCTATGATCTGCAGCTGCACTTTCCCATGTTCCACTTTATAAACTGACTTTAATGTCAACAGGTTAGTGACATGATATAAACTAATCCATTGACTAGTTGCACTACTCGGCATTTGGCATTACAGGCAGGGACATTTGAAGTGTCTCGTGAATGTAACAGTACGTGGAGCTCAAATGTAGAAACAAAGTCTGCAGGATAGAGAAATAGACTCAACTTTAACAAGGTGTGGTGCTGGCGAAGAGGAGATGTAGAGTGAGAGTGAGCGAGCCAGAGGCTGGGGTAAAGAGGCAAGAGGAGAGAGAGAGAGAAATGTTCCATCCTCTGAAGATGAAGCTTGATCTCTCACACTGGAGCGAAAGCATGGCCTTTGCACAGGGGCTTATCCTTCTTCGAGTAGAACGTCTTCCCCTCCAGGTTGATTTGGCAGAGCTTTAAAAAGATGAAAGAAGACAGACACAAGGACGGACAGATTTGAAAACCAGGGCAGAGCAGATATCAGACCTCAACATTGTCCATGTGAATGTACTGACTTTTCTACTCGGCCAAAGCAGCCACATATTATTCACCTGACAGCATTTGCTTTCACAAAGAATAAGAAAGATGGAGAAGGTGATAGAGTGCGGGTGACATGTTAAAAGAGAAAGACAAAGAGGTGGGGTCCAGAAATGGAGACAGATTTTTAGGTGGTACTGTGCTGGGAGAGATGGGGGGGGGGCAAAAAGAGAGGCCCACAGGGAGCCGTATCAATCAAAATGACTTACAGCACAGACGAAGCACGTATCGTGCCAGCTGTAGCCCAAGGCCTCCAGAAAGCGATCCCCGGCATCAATCTTAAAGTCACAGCCGTGGCATTTGGTGCCAAACATCTTCTCATAGTCTGGACACAGAGAGAGGGTGGTGATGGGAGAGGAGAGGTTTGTGAGCAGTGAGCGATCAGAATAAATTCCACCAGAGTGAAATAAATTCAAAAACGAGCTTTTATCATCCTGTGAAAATCCAGTCAAGCGTCCTCCATGACATCTCACCGTATGTAAACATCACCTAACACTTCTCACATGTTCTGAAGCACCGAGTGCAAAACAGGTTTCCTCTTCTTTCATCTTTAAAAGATCTTCTCTTTCCTCTTGAAGTTGAGCAACACGTGCGCACACACGCACACGCACGCACACACACACACACACACACACACACACACACACACACACACACACACACACACACACACNCACACACACACACACACACACACACACACACTCTCTCTCTAAAAGGACCTGAATGACGACTCTCACGACGGATGAACAGTTTCTGAAGCCAAATGTTGGCTCTCTTCTCTCCTCATTGGCCATTTGATGTTTGCCTTACTTTGCCCACCTACTGTACACGAGTGCCTTTACAGAGTGGAGGGGAGGGATTAGGATGAGGAGGAAATTGCTCCAGATACTTAACTGGATTCGCAAGTCTCTTTCATTACAGGGTCTCTTGGGGAAAGTGTCAGGTTATAATGTAGCTTCTCAAGAGCGAGTGGGTGAGAGCCACACAATCCCCCGAAAGATGCTGAGGCAGCAGAATGTTTATCAGAGCTACAGGCATTAGTCAGAGTGCGAGTGCTCCAATTCTGGCGTCGCCTCTGATAAAGCAGCAAACCGCGCCAGGGCCTCAGAAGTGAGTGAGAAGCGCGGCGCCTCGCTAAATCATTTACAGCATAATAGAAGAGCGCACGCCATTCATAAAATCCAATAGAGAGATGTATGAAGTAAACTGGAGCTAAATAGATTACAGCAGATGAAAACATCACACTTTATGATTGACTGTGGTGCGCGCAGAGAGATTCACGATGTCGGCCTGTGACAAAGCCCAGGAATAATACAGACGTGCTGTTTGTTTTACAAATAGTTTGATGGAAGAAAATGACAATGACTCCGACAAACCCAGAGAGATGGAACCCTGCAGTGAGGTGGTTGCTTTTTTCTTTTCTTTTCAAGAAACAACCACATCACAAAATGCATAGCCAAGTCATAGAGTTTCTGCAGTGTGCATGCATTTAATGTAAAAACAGTTTAATCACAAACTTTATGCTGTGTGGTATTATCTTTAAGCAGTGTCTGACTTTAAATTCAAGTCTTGACTTTATTTTTCTATTTAACCTGCATGAGAGTCACTGTCTGTTCTACTGTTGCTAACCGCAGAGTTTGTCCGTCCGTTCTTACATAAAATGTTGTTTCCTTTTATTTGAAGCAGAAGAGTTTCACCATGACGACTCCTTCATCTCAGCCTCAAGAATGTGCAACAGACAAACCTTTGTGTTATTTGATCCTATGAGCGAGAGACCTTGAGCGAAAAAACACATTCTAACTAAACATTCAGAAACAACTCTGGCAAGATTATTGTTTTCAATAGATACTGATTATTATTACTATAACATCCTTTACATTATTACTCTGACGCAATTGGTTTGACTGGGAAGAGCAGACTGAAAACATGTTTATCAAGCTAAATTAACTAGAAACACATCTTACCTCATGCTCAAATAGTCATGTTTTTGTGTCCTTAAAATACGACAACATCAAACTACTCCACACACAATACAAACCCATTTTCTTTGAGCCTGCTTTTCTATCATTCGTTGTACTTATTCCCGTTATTACACAATAAAATGTGTAATTTTTATTCAGGCTGCTCAACTGAAACTGTAACAGCTCAGTCTCTCACCTCTCTCACAGTAGGGTTCGCCCTCCTCCATGTAAAAAGCTTGGTTCCTGATAGGAGTCTTGCAGGCTGCACACTTGAAACACTGAACATGGTAGGTCATCTTCAGGGCATGCATGATTTCCTGAGAAGGAGAGAAATATATTGTACAGGAAAGTGGAGGTACAGCCAGACAAAAGTGTAAAATGTTGCTATTTTTATGTTTTGATGCGATAAAGCAGCTCTTACCCCCGTGATCTTCTTTTTGCACTTGGCACAGTTGGGAGCATATCGATTATCATGGCACTTGGTGCAGTAGACGGACCCTCTCTCCTCAAAGAAGCCCCCCTCATCCAGGACCGCCTTACACTGCGAACACGTGAATTCCTCGGGGTGCCAAGAACGTCCCAGCGCCACCAGGTACCGCCCCCTGAAAAACACACAGACACATGCACACATTAACAATCAGTGTAATTTTATAGCTTTAAGATTCACTACTGGTAACAACAACAATACTCATCATTACAAGTTATATGCCAAGGTTGGATAGCCCTCTCTCTCTCTCTGTAAAGAGACGCACACTGGGTCTCATGTTGGTCTTTAAACCACTTACATCACATCACTGCTGTGTCTTTAAATGTGGGCCCTCATCAAACACACTCAAATGACTAGATGACGCTGCAGGTGACAACCATTTTTAGTTTTTCTCCTCATGCACCTGCAACACGACATAACATACAGAGCAATCTAAAGCTCAACTCTTTTTTATCCATGGGGAAATTTACCTTCAACTGTTCTTAATTTAATCGAATTTGTTGTAAATTAAATTTCATGTACTTTATTTATACGTATTTATGTCGATCTGTTTTCTTGGTATCTTGTAATGTTTCATGTACTCAGCTGTATGGAAAATGTTAAAAATAAAGGTTGAAAGAACTCAACACAGCTACAATGGAAACATCAGCTCCAATCAAGGCAAACATGGCTAACAACGCACACCAAGGTACAACAGTGAGCTGAGATACCTTTTTTAAAATTCTACTGAGTTTGTGCCTTCTTTTGTTGGAAAATAAATCTTCTCTGTTCGTAACAGTGACCAGAATAAGAACTAAGATCTCTGTGTTATCTGTGAAACGTGTGAAATGAGATTTAAATGATTTAAAAGCCAGTATAATGCTCATCTCCAGTGATAACGAGACGTCTCCTAACCGTTAATTACACTGGCTGACTCAATTTTCTGCAGACACACAGTCTGTCACTGTTTATATTAACTGTCTTCACTGATGTGTCATTTCTTTAACAGAACTTTGAAATGAGCAAACACTGATTGGAGTTTATTCCAAAAAAATGTACCATTCAAACTGTCAGCTCAGATATGTCTGTGTCATCCTACCTGATGATTTTGTTGCAGGCCCCACACAACGGGGTCCTCCCGCTGTCCTCAGGTCCCTGCTGCGCCGCCTGCAGGATGGAGCTGCGGCTCTGCATGGGTGTCGGCTGGGCCGGCTGCTGGTGCTGGGTTACGACGGTGCTGGTCTTGTCTGGGCGGAAGCGGTCTGCGAAATTACTGTCGGTGACCCAGGGTGGTCGACAAGAGGGACCCGAACTGCCTGCCACTGCAGCTGTGGTCTTCGAGCCTGAGCCAGAGAAAGCACGGTGATTTGTTTTGGAATTAGGACACAGAGGAAAAACCTGGCTGCGACTTGGAATAATTTCACAAAAGGAAGGTGGCTCTTCATGTAATATGCATGATGTCTGCTGTGACCGTTTTGCCCGTCATGTTGTTGCTGCCGATGCTCATGTATTGACACTTAATAAGAATCTATTAACACAACCTGTGCTGGGGATCTTTTTATGCATCAGCAGGAGCAGAAACTCACCATCTGGTTTATCTGCTGCCTGGGCCTTGGCAGGTGAAGGAGTTGGCTCAAGGCTGTGGGGAGAAAATGACTAATTAGAAAAAGGTACACATCTCGCTCTCTCTCACACACACCCCTCTCAGTAACCATGGTTACTACTCAATGCATTAACATCATGTTGAATGTCAGCGGCAATGACTGCCTCCATTATGTTGTGCCACAGATAATGTTTTGTATGAACAATTAAAGGCAACATCATCATTACTATAGATCAGTATCCATTAGAGCCAGATACCAATATTATGGAGTAAAACATGTCAGATACAGATGTATCAGCTCAAATAAATGTGTATTTTCTTTAATTGGCAAATACTTAGTAGAGCACATACCTCCACTAAGTACTAACAGTCCCCTTAAATTCAATAAAGCGGCACCAAATTTAATACAATTTCTGCAAGATCCATTAATTATAACCTGAGAAAACTGTGGAAAAGGGTTTTTTTAAATCCTCTCACAACGTGTAAGAAAGTGAAAAAAAATCCACATCAAATGCAATAGAAATTTTACAGTTTAACCGTAAACTTTATTATAAATAATTTTATATAAAAAGAAAACAAATGCAACCAATTCTATATAGAACTTGAATTAAGAGGTGAACATCATTTTTAGCTTCAAATATAAACATGAATGCAAATCTTCTCTGCATTGTTTCTTCTTTAAGATAAAAATGTTTTACATCAGCTTACATGTGAATATATCTGTAGATATATTTGGCCAGCTAATGTATTGGTTGGGCTCTAGAATCAACAGGATAACATCGCCTCACCTGCTGTGCCAAGATAAGCTGCTTTCATAACATAATTTCAGCTGAATGTTTAAAAAAATACACTGCAATGGATTTTTTCTAAAGAAATAATGGACTATTTGTCTCTGAAGTCCATTTTATATGATAATACAAGAAAATCTGATACTGTACAGAAAACAGACGTCTTACTCTTTTTATGTGAGCAAAAAGAAACCTGCACATTGTCTCGGATTGATTGACGTCATTCGCAGGCAAAGTTAGGAAAGGGAAAAACTCGTCAGAGTTGAATCGAAGAGTTTCACTTCAAGCCTGCATGTGCAAAGTGTAGCAATAAAGAGTTGCTCCTACATTTGAAAGTTATGTTACCCGCAGCAAGCGTCACCATATTCAGAAAATCTTCAAACCCTGACTGAGATTGAAAAACAACTTCTGAGCCATGTCAGCGAGCTCTGGAGGCGTCTCATCTTGGGAAAAAAATATAACAGCGCCTTAGGCATCTATCATGTTTACATCATCAACTGTGCCATCTACAATACACTAATGAAAGATGATGAAATCACTCCTCATTTGCAAAGGAAGAGGAGGAAGATGTGAAGTGAATTACGCCGCAGCGTCCTTGTTCTATAGCGCCGCCTGTATCGAGTTAAATCTGCCTATCAATTAAAACACAAACAGTAAACACAAAAAAGTTACAGAGGGTGGAGAAGTTACAGAAACACAACTGGGAGGAATCTAACCAAACGATCACTGCTGCTTTCCAAACAGCATATTCTGAATAATAAAAGGAAAATAAATCCCCCTGCAACCGAAGGAAGACGGCTTGCAGGGCTGGTGACGGAGGGGAGAAGTTCAATCTTTCTATTTAAGGCAAGTAAGACCCCCGTTAAAGATGGATTTGGAAACTACAGCAGTACAGAGAAAGGAACAAAAGGAGCCTGGATGAGAGGGCAAACAAAGGACAGAACAAACCTGTTATAGCCTGTTTGACTCACAGACCCTAGGTCAGCTGTCCTCCACCCATTCCTGCCTCCTGGAGCCCCACCTAACAACACAACATCCTGGTCAACACTGTGTCCACTGCCCCCCTGGCTACGCTCCCCTGCCATGCTGCCCTACATAACAACACGGCCGGTGGCTCTGACTTCTCAGACACCTCTGAGACGCTTGTTTGGTTGCACCTCACTCTGCTGAAGGTTGTGCAGGTGCAAATTGGAGAACATCCTCTACAGCTGCTTATTCCCACCCGAAGCAGCCCGGATCATGTTTTCTTGACATTTTCACCGCTTTTAACATCGTCCTCCTCCTCTGCACGCTCAGCGAGAGGCTCAGTGTTGCAGGTGCACAATTCCTGCATCACAGACGTTCCAGACAGCACCCCATGGAACATTTCCTTGACATTTGGTGTTCACTCTTTACACCTCTGATTTTAGATTCCCCCATGTTTTGGCTTTTTTTTCCCCTTTTCGGGGCTTCCTCCCCTGTGGGATGCATCAAACTGAGCAATGAAGAAAGCAGAAGAGTTTGTTGGCAGCTCAGCAGCCGGCAGAAAGAGGGGAGCGGGTTTTGATTTCAGGTGGAGCAAAGAGCCTCTGACATATGTCACCCTCCACAGTGAGACGGTAACGATGATGCAAACAGGAGCCCGACTGTGACAACTGGAGGAAAATGTCAAACAATGGTGGCACGCGTCCTGGAGCGCAGAGAGCCTGTGTGCTACAGACTGCTCAGGTTTTAATTAACAAGCTCTTCCTGTCATTCATTGTTCCTTATTGTTTACAAGACACATTATGCAAAGAAAACATGTGCAGGGCCTGCAGACTCTTTCTTTATTACATGCACCATGTTTAAATGATATTTCTCCCTTTTTATATGGACTATTACATACTCTTTGTTTCCTATCATCAAAATATTGTTACTGGTCTTTTGTTTTACTAAACATGTGCTTATGCCATCCTGCATTTACACATTTTGAAAGGACTGAATGCTACAAATTTAATTGGCAGTTACTTACCAAAAACATACACTGCTCCTAGTTTCTGTTTTCAACACATGCTTACCCTTTTTACAACAGAGTATTATTTCTAGAACAAAGTCATAATTTAATAAGGAAAAAGCCTTAATACTATGAAAGTAAAAGAAACTATTTTTTTTTGGAATAGCAGCAAGGACAACTCATGATCACTGGAGTTTAACCAATATCATTGTTTTTTGAGCAACATCAAATCCATGAACATCACAGATGTAACCGACGACAGCCTCACTGTCGAGCACTACCAAACATTGTGTCCTCCACAAAAGAGGACATTTCTTTGTTCGTTTCCTGTCTAATCTAATGAAAGTCTTACGATAATTTGGAGGAAATTAGTGGAAAATGTTTTATTATTTGTGAGACCTAGATTTAAAGGTCCAGTGTGTAAGATTTAGGTGAAAGGGATCTATTGGCAGAAATTTAATGTAGAATAATCCTCATGATGTTTTCACGAGTTCATTTCATCTAAATTGTATGACTTGTAGTTTTCTTTACCCCAGAAAAGGCCCTTTATATTTAAATACTTTATATTTATTTCCGCCATGTTTTTTTACATTAGTCCAGACTAGACAAACTAAACACCTTTGAGTTTTTATGACAATTTAAGCTACCACAGGTTCTTATTCATGTTTGGAAGAGGGTGAGGTGAGGGGGAAATAATGACTTTATTCTCATAAAATTCAACTTTATTCCCATAAAATTACCCTTTAAGTGGCTCAAATACTCTGTAATACTTTTTTAGTGTGATTTACCAATTGGAATTTAAATTCAAACAACTATTCTAGTCTTGCTGCTGTGATGATCATTATTTCTTCACACAATGTGACAGAACATTTCTCGTTCATTCCCCTCAGCTCACATTGTTTTGGTTGGTTCCAGGTTTTTATTGCCAAGTTCCTGATCCAATGTTTCCATCACAAACCATTAAGTTAAATCACCTTGTAACTAGAAAGCAGCCATTGTTTTTGTCCTGGACACCAAACAGCAAAGGTACATTTTGTACCGTGTCCACAGGGAAGGTTTCTGAATAGTTCACAGCCGTCATTTTATACAGTTTTATATCGGTAAAAATCTGACCATCAAAATGTTTTATGAGATCTTCTCCATCAGATTCGGTCCCTTTCAATGTTTTGTGCCGCTTACAGTGGAGCTATCTGACCATTTTACTGTTGTGACTGCTCAGCTGAACTCTAAATATAAAATGTTGGTATTTCATTAGGTTTTAAATACTCTTTCGACATTTTATTTCAGGCAAGTGCAACAGACTAAAGGCTGTATTTTCCTGATGTGCAGATTATGCACTTCATGAATGTGTATTGCTTCATGCGTGCGTGTGCTCATTTGTTGTTTTTATGCCCGACTACACAACAATTTTCTCTCGGAGGCAATAAAAATAAACCTTGAACCGTGATCTTTGAGAGGACAGCCCCATTAATTCAGAACTCCATGAAAAGCAGGGAAAAACCTGTTTCTACATAATCATTTTTGCTCTGTACAACAGGTGAATAAGGAAAGAAAGAGGGAAAATAAGAATGAACAAGAAGAATGGAAACAGGAGAAAAGAACAAAGAAGCAAGAGTTTCTTTTTTCAGGAGTTTTTATATATATTTTTGATGACAGCAGGAAAGAAAGGTACAGATTTATCTTCCTTTTCTTTCTAAATGGTTGGAGAAGTCTACAAGATGAGGGGATCAGAAATGAAAACTCTAAAAGATTAAGAACTCAATAAATGGAAGCAGGCAGAGAAAGAGAGAGAGAGAGAGAGAGATCAAAAGAGAATGTGAACCACAAAATCAAAAGAAGAATTAACAAACAGAAATGTGCTTCCCACCGCTGAGACCCCCTTCCCACCTCCCCACTCGTTTACTCCGAGTAACGCAGTGTGAAATGGAAAATAGGTCTACAGACACAGTGGTCCACAGTGTTGTCAACAATCATCAAGTCAGACATTCAGAGGGAGATCTTCCACTTAGGCTCAGTATGCAAGGTTCCACTTTGGGCTTTGTGATCTAGGCTACGTTTCTTGTATTTTTGCTTTGCTTATCGTTATTTCCCCAAACTTCTTTTTTTTCACCCCCATCTGTTACCCGAGAGGCGAATTTGTCAACTGCCATCGGACGGTCAGCTATCTCCGTCGTCTTTGTCACGTAGTCGTTTGCGGTGTGGCTATCACTAGCAGGCTCTGGCCGGGCTCTGCATCCCGTGGCGTCGGGGGTGTCGCTCAGGATTTGATATTGAGG